TTCAATCAAATCGTTCTGTATATTTGACGTATTTGTTATATCGATTCTATTTCAAATTTGGAATTTTTATTATCGAAAGAACATTAATGGAATAAAAATTCTAATGCAAGAGTAGTGATAAGAATGTGAATGGAAAAATGAGATTTAAATTTTGACAATTTTGGATGACAATGGCATAAAAACGATTGAAAAAAAAAATAATGGATGAATGAAAGTGTTTCGTTACTTTCGGTGGAGATTGTGGCGAGTCTTTACATTCTTTTACTCGTTTTGGACATTTAGCAAGTTTCTTCTCGTATTCTTTACACGTTTCTTTGTGCGTTACTTTTTCTTTCCTAACATTTTTCAGATTTTTACACGCCTCCCTCCCGCATTGATTGTCACGTAATAAAAATTTAAAAATATTAGTGTGAATTCTTCGAGTAATAGGAACGATTAATTTTGTGGCCAACATGCCAAATTCGACATGCCATGGTACGAATGGGGAATACAGCAACTAATCGATTTTTCTTGCGACAAAAGAAAACACATGGTGTGCATTCAAGAAAATATATGCACAATGAAGTTTGAAATATATAAAAAAATTTCTAGTTATTTTCGAAAAATTACTTAGGGTTTTAGATTTTTAAAGAACTGGTTTCGAAGAATTTGAATTCTTCCAATGTATCCTGTAGTAAAATTTTCATTGTATTTATATTCGAATAAAATATTACTGTAAACGAAATTTAGAATTAATTTACTTCAACAAGTTTTATGCTATAAATTCATTTAATTTTCTCTTCTTATATTTTTCTTCTCCTATTAGTTTTTACTGTATGAACAGTTTAATTCCGAATAAAAATTTAGTTGACAAAATGACTTCAGTACTTAAAAATTCTGAATGCTATCATGCTATCACAGCTATAGAAGAATATCCCAATAAGAAATGTCCCAATATTAAAATAAAAAATATGTTTTTGAGTGACGTAGAACAATTTTTTTCAACCAACTAATTCTTGGAGATACTATTAACGAAAAAACTATAATATAATAAACTAATGCTTTAAACATATATGTAATATATTGTGTACTACGTGTACGCATATCCTCAAAATTTTAAATATATTTTAAGTAACATTGACATTACTTTGAATATTCTGGATATTAAATCTAATTATTACTACTGAGAAAGCAAGTCAATAAATTCATTTCTCATTCGTCAGGTTTCGAAACTTCGATAAGCAGCAATTACGACAGCGTGGAAAATATGGAGAAAACGACACCTTCCAACACACCGTCGCAAGACACGAGGCAAGATTACCGCGCCCTCAGAGAGAAACTGGGCACCGAATTCCATCAGAAGCTGATCGAGTGGGAGCGTTTAAAAAATTTTCCACCCCGTGTTTCCAGCACGAAAGAAACCTCCTCGAATTTACCGAGCCCTCGAGAAAGCTTGCTATCGGAAGAAAGATTAGCACCCGAGTTCAGGAAGAAATTGCAAGACTGGAAACGCGCGAAAAAAATACGAAGAGGAAGTGCCCCGTTTGTGCTGCAGCAGAGGCTGAATAGGCGTCGTTTAACGGATTGGCAACTTTGGAGATCTCCTTTGAAAACCGAATTCAGGAATAAAGAAATCTTCAGTCTCGCTGGTGGTGAAAGCGGTGAGACCGCGAACGATGGGAGGACGCAAGTTTGTGACGATTACCCGAGAAAAATGGAATCTTGGAAGAGAACGAACGAGAGTAATTGCGATGCGAAAAGTCAAACGCGAGCCAAGTCACATCAACTTGGGATTGCATCTGGAATCGACGAAAGCGAGTTTCTCGCTTTGGAAAGATTACTGTCGCTTTTCAACAATAACGCGAGTAAGGAGAGACGAGAGAGTGATGTTCAACAATTGGACGAGTGCTTCGATGGGGATGCAAGGTAAGATGCATGTGTGTGATTGTTAATCCATATAGAAATTATTCCAAAAATTGTAAAATAATGAAAATTTACGAAGGGATATAAACAAGAATAGAAATTAATGGAAAAAGAATAAAGATAGATTAAAAATTAAATGAAACTAGCATAGACAAGAAAAGCATATAATAGGAGAAGGATAATAAGAAATGACTGCCAGCACTACTTTGTAGGAGTAGGAGACATCTTTTCAAAGCAGGATAAGGTAGAGCAAAAATTGAGGATCAGCGTCATCTCTTGAGTACTTTTAAAACTTACTTAGTATTTGAAAGAAATGTTTTCAGTGCTCAAGAAATGGCGCTGATGGTTTATTCTTACTATATCTGCTGTTACTATCTTATGAGAATAAATAGTAATAAGTAATATGAGAAATTTATCTTTAATTAATGAATTTTCTATCTACAAAAAATATAATTGGCCAATTATATTTCAAGTTTACATTATTTTTTATAAAATATATAATTGTACCACTATATTAGAAGAAATATGATTATATATTAAAGAGTAATAATTTCCAAAAAATAGCTCTCATTATATCATATTGCCTTATCCTGCTTTTGAAAAGAAAATTTATTTATTTTCAAATTAATTCTCTCTTTAGCAAAATAATCAAAGATTTATTGCAAACTTATACTAAAAAAAGGAATCAACTTACCTTTTTATATCTTCATATTTCCATCATGAAAATTAAAAATAATTGATAATTTGTCCATGATGACTGAATAATGGGCCAGCATGCATTGGCCAGACAACACAACAACAATAATTACTACGTATTATTAAAACGAGCACAGTGACAAAGTAGTAACAATGACTTCCCATTCTTTGGACCTAAAAAGAATCCAAAAGATGAGAAGCCATTCGTTGCAGCCCTCTTCGCGACAGTTTGTCGGGCCTCTTCGGTCTTCTTTCTTCGGGCGCAATACCCGCTGAAACTTAAATCTAGGCTCGGGATTCCCTAATTGCGAAAACGCGCCTACTCAGAGATCAGAGACTGTGACAACTTGCCCGGCCCTACCTACTTATAGTTAACAGGCATACCAGAAGTATACTACCTATCCTACCTAACTCTATATTTAAAAAAAATGGCAAAACAGGCACACCAACACATTCATTCTACGAATCTCACTCATAACACTCGGGCGCAAAAAGCCTACACTAGGGAAAGCGTCCCGGGACACCTCCGACACCCGAGCTTGGCACGCTACACGCATACTCTAACTTTACGTACCATTTTTTCCTGAAATCGACTGACGACGGCTGGTGACCATTGCGTGAAAAAGATAATAAAGTTTTGTGTATATGTTGATATTTTAATTGTAAATAATATTCATTGAAAAAAATATACACGTTCCGAACGAATCATGTTATTTAAATAACGTGAATAATATCATTTTATTATAATTTAAGTAAGCAGGATTAATAATTGAAACGACGCAATTCCACAGCCTAACCAAACACACACAATGTGGAAAATACGTCGTGCACGATACACTAACACATCGTCAATCGCTGAGAAATTATGTTATGAACTAGGGTCGTCATACCTATCGCCTTTCTCTCACTCAAGTAGCACCTGGGCACGTGAGTGAGATCCTGACAATTGGCATGGAAAGGGTTAAATCTGAAAATCCTGAGCTAGAAAGATATATTAGACAAATATTCTGTATCTAATCGAGCTAATCAACTTTGATTTTGTATCGTTTGATCAATATCTCAAATTTTATTGTAAATTTTATTTAGAGTCTACTTTATATTTTACTTTTTTATCAATGTAATATATTGTTGAAATTTTATAAATAAGAATTATTAATTAAAAAAGAATGTATATATATATATATATATATTAAAAAATGCAATGAATTGATTTTAAAAATGTTAAATATTAATGAAAATAGCCTCAGGCGACCTTTTTATCAAAGCACATTTTTGAAAATATGAAAGAATTATTCATAATTTGTAACTTTGATTTCAAAATCTGCCTGTCGCGAAGTGTCTTCTTGTACATAATATTTCATATTTTTAGACGAGAGAAATACAATTATTATCTTTACTATCTTGAGAATCAAACAACATGTTTAGAATATTACCATAAAGAAAAAGATAAGAATAAAAATGATTTATTATCACATTATTTATCATTTATTCGAATATTCATGTCTAATCCATGCACGAATATTTAAATAGTTAATATTTGCAAATATCTCTAATGAATATACTCTAATAGATTTCAATAAATCAATTTGAAAACTTACTAATATTTAAAAACGCGGTGTACAAGAAAACCTAGCCTAAACTAATAAATAAAACATAGAAAAAGAAAATGTTACTACTCACGGGTATAATAAATACCCGCGGTCACTGTGCTCGTGCAAAATTCTACGTATACAACCAGTCACCCGTGTCGATTCGGACCTTTCATCCTACGACATGATTGAATGACCGGAGGAATCAAAATGCATGCGACTCACCATAGATGCAAAGAATCGCTATAAATTTCGTAATCCATGTAATCAAGTAACCAATGTAATCATGAAGTCGTCGTCAAGTAGAGGAAAATGAAAACTATAATAAAAAATGAAATATTGTAATGTAAAATGATATATATAATGATTGTTTAAAAAATTAAGTGAGAAAAATTGATGGAAAATATATGAAGATAGTTACCTTTTCTAATGATGGATAATCGCCTTATGCTTTCGAAGCACTGATTCTAATGAACCGAATATTTAAAAAAAAAAATAAAAATAAAAGACTACTATTTGATTTATAATCGATGAACAAACACTGATTCTAATTTCGCGAGTGAATATTATAAATTAACTGAATTAGAATAGTTATATTTTAAAAAGTACTAAAAATACTATTACGAAGTAAACACTGACTCTATTGACCGCATTGCACGCGGTTACAAAATTTCTCTGAAAATAAAATTATAATTAATTAGAGAATGAAATAAAAAAAGAAAAAATATAATTTAAAATAAATAAAATGTAATTTGATATATTGATATATTATGAATTACTTAACAAGGATAAATAATAAAATATATCTTTTTATTTCTGATTAAATGTTACTATAAAAAATTACCATTAGATTATTCTTCATGTCCATTGAAGAGTGAACACGTAAAAACGTTCATTATGGCATCCATATTGAATTTTTTTCTCTTGATAGTTCTATCAACTGCCACTCAACTTCTAAAATTTTTAAAATAAGTATAAAATTGTTAAAATATATAAAATTAGAACTAATTGTATTATAAAACAAGATAATAATTAAATTGGAATCCTATTTTTGAAGCTCAAAACGCAAAATATAGGTGATTTTAACGATAAATAAATTAATAAAAAGAAAATAAATTATTTCTTAAAAAATTACAAATTATAACAATATTTAATCAATTATCGAATAATGTGTATTAATTAAATAATAATAAACGAAAAATAAGATAATAATTATGAAAATAAGTATTATAAGATAAATTAATTACGCACCTGAAATAAAGCAGCTAACGCCATGACTTTTTAATAAAACTGCGATATTCTGCGCCACGATTTCAACGACCAACGGTTTTCTCGATATATCGATAAAAAGTCGAAGCATGTCGAGAATGATATGACGCCAACGATCATTTTTCCGAAAAAGCTATATTGGAAAAAATATTTTCTATCTTAAACATAATATCCAAACAAATACAAAAATATATTGTCAATTTTCTGAAAATTGAATTATAAAAAAATTCTCAATCTTTAGCGTAAAATCAAAACAAATAATTTGAGTTCAACGCAACGATAAATGCATTTAAGAAAAAAATATTTCACTTTTACTTCCATACAAATGAAAATAAATGAAGACAAAAGAAACTTATAGTAATTATTGTATGTTTTTTATTAAAATAAGACAAATCTTACCATATTTGGATGAAAGTCATTACATGTGCATAACCTATTGCACTTTCCAAGCCATTCCAATAATTAAATAATAATCTATACACATAAAAGCCATAATTATAAAAACAAATGTATAAAATGAAAATAATATTGAAATAAAGTAATAATAATTAAATTCAAGTCCGATTTCAAATGTTAACACGAACTACCGGTAACTGTAACTATTAGATGCACGAACAAATGAAGAACGACAAAAAAGTTCAAAAGTTAATTCAATATTGATAACAACTTGATGATTAAACACATACGTTTCAATTAACAATAGCACTATACACATAATAATCTAAAAATTATACAATAATATCAAATTTCACATAAAACACTTGTATATCTCTATGCCGGTGTAACGTACTCTCTTCCTACGATTCTTGACAGCAAACTGACGCCATACATATGATTTGTCTAACCGTTGAATCTTAGGAGCTTTTTGATTGGCTGGAGCAATGGAGAATTTATTCACTTTAGTCGCGCGAAAATTAAAATACAACATAATGTATTTTAACTGTTAATTTCTATACATCAAAATCATACAAAAACATGTTAATTAAAAATATAATAAGAATAGATTATTACAATTAATTATATTATTACAATTATTAATTATATAATTACAATTATTACAATTAATTTAATATTGAAATTATTCAAATTAGAAATATTAAAACATGATAAACATTTAAAATAAAAATTAATCAAATTTAAAAAAAATATAATATGAAAAATAAATCAATATAAAATATGCTTCAATTAATTCACGTGGAAAATATGATGAAGAAAGACAAATATTAATTAAAAAAGAGACTGAAAAATAAATAAAAGAGTTTATATGAAAATTATATTAAATAAAATATAATATATTAAATAAAATTAATTTTGAAAAAGCATTGTACATTAAGTCTATATCTCATTTATGATATTAGTTTCATTTATAGCTCTCTGATTCCATAATTTTTAATTTATCTTTGTTCTTTTAATATATATAATATAAAATATTAAATTTCATAGATAGAATAGAAGTATTGGAAAAACTAGGGACAGAGAATTTCATGAACAAACAAAAAAAAAAATTAGTAAATTGAATGAAATTCCTTTGCATAGGAATCCACAATATTAAAAAACAAACTTCGAATATATAAATGAAAAAAATTTTAAGTAAAAAATATTGATCTTTAACGGAATAAATCAATATTAAAATGTACAAATGAAAGTTAAATGAAAAATTATTTATAAATTATCAATAGTTCCAAATATTAGAGAAAAAAAAATCTAATATAATTTTATTTAAGATCGTATGCCGATGGAACACAAAATTTAAATGACACCAACGAAGTTTTCGTTCGAACATCTGTTGGATCTTACCGATTCGAAGGTATTTCACGAGAATTCACAAGGAAACTGTACGACTGGGAACAATATCGTGGAATATCACCGACGTCTTCGACCTTCCGCCTTTTAGGACCTTCTTACATACCATTTTTAAGACAGACAACTATGGAAACATCGACGGATAATTCACCGATAACAAGTAAGATTCTAAATTTACTTAATCATCGAATAAAAAATATTCTACGTGATTTAAGTGACAAATCATTTAGAAGTTGGAAGCGACGAACCGATATCGTTCAAAGTCTGCTCTTTGAAGAGGTCGAAATCTGTCGGCAATGTGGTCGAGCAAAATGATCGAAATGAACTTTTCATACGCCGTTCGAACAGTCTACAATCATTGGACCATCTCACGAACAGGTTAAAAGATGCTGATCGCATAGATGTTTTACAAGAATCAAGTAAGTATTTAATTCCATTAATTCACGTGGAAAATATTTAAATATGTATCTATACATTCTAGTATTAAGAAAAATCCATCATTGATCTTACTTTTCATTTCATACTTCATTTCTAGTCGATCCTCAAAGATCAGAGGACATAGTCGAAGACATAATGGACGATTCGGAACCGGAAGCAATGATCGTGGACATCGAAGACGTGATCGAAGAAACTGCGAGCCCCCTGGAAAGGGTGCAACCACACCAAACACCCGTGTACTCGGTTGCAGCGAGCGAAACGACGAGTATCGCGGTACCATTGGGAACTGTTACATCTAGTCACGAACCATCGCCGGTATTCTTGATAGAAATAGAGGAAAATTCGGATTCGAAACGGTGGGAGTCGAAAAAGTGGAATCAAAGGAAAAGTGTCTCGAGCGAAGACAGTTTGAGCCTGGAGCAATCCGAAATGGCGAAATCTTGGGAGAGAAACTCTTCGAGTAACGTGGATTCGGAGCATTGGTCCTCTGCAAGCTCGTGGAGCAAGAGGGAAACGTTTGATGCGAAGGAGAACGTTGATAATTTGGATCGGGAATTGGACAAAGATTCGGTGAAATCGAACAGCTCGATTTATTCGACCGATGTGGATACGGAATTTAACATTGTAAACGAAGGAAAGGATCAAGTTAATTTCGAGAGGTAAAGTCATTCACGAAAATCTTTTTTCGTCTTGTAACATTTATTAAAATAAAACGTTGTTAAATATTCTTACAGTATTTGTTAAAATAATTATAATAAATAATTATTGATATTAAAATTTTCAAGATCCAATTTCCAAGTATAAAATTTATTAATTTGTTCGCATCATGATATATAATTTATTTTATTAGATAACTGTGCAATATGAAATGAAAAAAAAAAATATTTTAATTAATTTTAAGCTCTATTTCTAGAGAAGATGTTCCTGTAACATTACCTGAAAAGGAAGATGGACTTGAAAGGAATCTGAAGGAATCCGATGGTAAGTTCAACAATATCAAATTTCTGCAAGGTTCAAAGATTGGTCATGAAAGTAGAGTAAAAAATTCTTTTTGTAAAAAAGAACGAAAACAAAGCTATATCAATAAATGAAATCTTGAAATCTCGTTTGAATAATTTTAGAAAATTTTCTATTAAATTTTAAATGATCAAAAATCCGATAATTTGTCCAAAAATTATTATAATATTTAAATTTAGATTTTTCGAAAAAAAAAAAAAATAATCTTCAGAAATAACTTTTATCATAGCACAATCAAAAGTAGCGATCTGTCGATACAACCAAGAGTTATCGATTGAGAAGGAACAAGGATACGATTACCAACAGATAGAAGAGGATGAGAACATCGATGATGAAAAAAATCTTGCTGAAACTACTACTAAATCCAACAATGAGTATGAAGAAATAATCGTGACCAATTCTTTTACGAATTTGCAGTCAATGGAAAATTATAACGATGAAACGGCTAAAAATTTATTGAAAACATCGATTAATTGTAAATTAGGTATGTTATAATTATTTAAATATCATAATTGATTAGGATCTATATCGAAAACGATCCTTGTCAATTTCTTCAATGTTTCAAAATTAATAATTTTTCATCAATAAATCTATATTCTTTTTTTAAAAAAAACATTCATTGCGTACAGTTGCACAGTACTACAAGTGTTATAAAGAAAAGTGACATCACAAAAAAGTTATATTTAATTCAAATCATGAAGTTGTAATGAATTTCATATTTGAAATTAAACAAGGCTCGTTTTTATTACAGCATGTATTAAATTTTATTTATAAACGTAAAAATAATAAAAAACATTCATAAAAATACATTTTCCCAATATTGTTCTATAGTTTAATTATAAATTTCTAAGTCTTTAACGTTTTGATATATCCATGAAAAATCATACAGATTCTTCCATTATAATTCAATAATATCTTTACTCGAAAGTTTAACAATTTTCAAATATTCTAATTATTTCTAGAGCAAGCCAAATTTGCAACACGTGACGTAGATCGTTTCTATACCAATCAAGATCAAAAAAATTCCAAAAAAGCTGAAGAAATTTATACCGTAATCAGGGATGACACCGTTCATCGAGACTTATCCAAAATAGAATTAGACACGAATCGTTACGATTCATCCAAACCGTGCATCAATTATCCAATCTACGAAAAAGAGAACGATCGTTTCAAAGAAGCAACGAGAAGTTCACAATCCGTCGAAAGAAAGAAATGGCAAGAATATCGTAACCCCGAGCCTGCTTCGTCTTCCATGTTATCGTGCACCTCGAATCCCTCCTCGTTCGAACGTCATCGTGAGCCAACTATTCAAACAACTGCGTACACGGTAGCGCCATCTCGCGACCAACGTTGCTTCGAGAGAATCGTCATCAACGAAGAAACTCTGAACAAAATAGTGGTACCCACGGCAACGGGCTGCGTGGAGAAAGCAAGTACCTCGAGATCGCCGATAGAGCGAGCGCCAATCGAATATCGATCGAGCAACGATCATCACGTTCCGGTCAATCGAGAAACAAGTATTAAAAAGCAAATCTCCAATTCACCGACTCGAAACGTTTTCATCAGGACGAAACGTATAATATTCTCTCCGTTCCGACGTTCGGAAGAGCACTCGTCTGGTAAAAAGGAGAACAACGGTAACGAGGATGATCGCGTGTTCTCTACGAAGAGCAAAAGCAAGTCGAGGTCGGATCGCCCAAAGCGAACCGACAAGACGCCCTCTTGAGGATGTCTCTTTCGTTACCGTGGCCCCTTCGCCCATCCTCGAAGGATCGTGAGACGAGAGAAGCGACGAAAATCGAAGAGGAACGGGCGCCCGTTAAACAGAAGCAAAACTTCAAACGGTGCAAGTCTGTGGAGAGCTCGAGGAAATCGTCCATCGGCGACAACATATTCCAAACGAGGCGAGATAGAGGTTCGTCGATCGAATTGAAAAATTCTACGAACGAGAGAGAGAGTGTCTCGGTACAAACAGTTGCAAGTGAACGAGAAAATCGAGCTTCCTTTAGAGTCAGCTTGCCCAGCTTGAAAACTGAGGAGAAAACGAAAGAAAATTCTTCTTCCTCCTCCTCCTCCTCCTCTTCCTCCTCTTCCTCCTCTTCTTCCTCCACGTCTTCTTCGAGATTCGACCCACAATCTTCGGATCTTATCCACAAATTGACGATTCTGTCGAATGCAGTGGCGAGACGAGACGGCAGAACCAACACGATCTCCGAAGAATCGTCCCTCGTCGAATCACACTCGTTAAAGGTGCGACGAGCGAAAGAGGATTTCTTGTCTCGTCGAGGTGGTCCGCTTTGCCATTCCATGTTGGAGCCTTCATCCGTCAAACGGGAGGGTTCGCCAAGAACGTTGGTCCATTTCTACGAGCAGATCTCGGAAAATCAAGAAAGAATGGCAAGCGGGGAGCAGATATCGAGTGTAAATTGTGCCCCAAACTCGTTGTTAGACGCGTCGAATGAAAAGGAAGGGCAGCAACACGGGTTGGCAACCAAAGAGAAGAAGATGGAACATTTTTTGAACGATTACAACGAGTTGTCGAACGGTTCGCGACCCGATCGTGTTAAATCCGCCAGTGCTGGAATGATAAACGTGGATCCGGACACGTTCGTGCGTTTGACCGAAACCAGCCGGGGATGCGAGTCTCTTCCAAGATCGATCTCGAAGCAGCCTCAGCCGTTAGGATCGCTCGCGAAAATTGTTAATAAATTAAAGTTTACGAGATTGATACGTAGCAAGGATGCTCAGGAGGAGAATATGAGCACGATCTCGAAATTGTGCAGACAGAGTTTGTTGATCGATGTTAGAAACGATTTTGACAAGTGTTGGGAGTCGAGCGATCGTGAGAAGGTTCCTAAAGCGGGTAGCGTTGAGAAGAATAAGAGAAACGAATGATTGTGATTGTTAAATTATAAATTTTGCAGTGAAACTTCCAGTATTCGAATTAGTAATTATATATGTATATTTTAATTATCATTTTTTTTTGTCGTATAAATCGTTCGATTGTGTTGATTTTATAAATAGCGAATAGTGAAAAATATCTGGATAAGATTTCGCAATTTTTATGGATCATCGTTCTTTCCATCTTCTATCAAGAGGATCGTAAAAGTAATTTATGGAGAATTGAATCGTAGAATTATTTGCGTGAGAAATTTTCCGATATATTTCAATTAGATATATAAAATATTGTATTATTATCTTATTATGTGTCTCGAAAAAAATTATCCTATAATATTTTTCGTTGTTATATATACAAAATAATTAGAAATATAATACTAGAGTATAGGGGACAAATGTTTGAATAATGGAGGTTCTACTGTATCGAATATAAGCAGTAATTGTCGATGAATAGTTGCGGTTACGGAAAAGATTTTAATAATTTTTTTAATAACGAAGTTAGAATAACTATGAGAAGTAAAAGAAAGAATACATAATTCTAATTAATTTTACAACGAAAACGAAACGACAATCGACCACCAATCCAACCACGACTCGAATCCGAAAAGCTGAAAAATTGCAATACAAAAACGTAACAAAATCCCAATTAATCATCGTCTCGGGCTTTAATCCAATTCCCAAGCAGCCCAAAACAAATAAACCGGTATTTCCCTATCCTACACGAGCACCGTCCCACATCATCTTAAAAACTTAAATGTAAACGAATCAGAGTAGTTGGAGAACAAGGGTAAACAAAAGGCCCAGGGGTCGTTCCCAAGTATTACCGGTGTTTGACGAAATGAAATTAATACCCCAGGGGTGGTCTCGAGTGGTGGTGCGCGTAGAAACTAAAAGTAAGCTCGTGTCGTGTGCGACCAATACCCGCCCCTCCTTCTCTTTCTCTTCTTCCTCCCCTCTCCATTTTAACTTTCCCATCCCTCTTCGAACGACCCCTTCGTCTAAGCGTTACACCTCTCTCTCTTTCTCGAGCACGAAACACTCGACGATCGCATTAAGCGGATTTCGTCCGATCGACGAAGCGGTCGAACAAACAAATCGGTCGAACGGGCGCGTTTCGTTTCGTTTCGTGGACGATTGTGAGCGGCCATTGTGCCATCGCGCCGGCGAAGAATAGGCCCGCCTCGGGAAGAGTTTTGATTTATAACGAGTTTAAGCCGACCCAGATCACTGCTGGGATATCCGCTCTCCTTCCTCCCCTGCGAGATCTCGTTTTCCCGTTTTCTCGCATTCGTTCGAATGACTGTGTGAAATTTTGTTTATTGCTGTTGTAAAGCTCAAGATTGCGTCAAGATTCTTACCATCTGTTCGAGATATTAATATTTTTAACTTAAGCTTTAACTAAGAAATTAAAAATTTAAAATGCAGTGAACGATCAAAACGATCAAAATTTTATTCATTTTATAAAAAATAAATTGGATAAATTCTTTCTCGATCCTTCGATTTTAAAGCTTCTTTATACGTTTCTCTTCCAAAATATTTCAATCATCCCCCAATTTAAAACTCTCTTTATCTCAGAAATCGGAAAAGCGAGCAGCATAATTAAGAGGTTCAAAAGAATCGACTTCCTCCAATCGATTGAATTATCCAACTATCGAACACTCAACAACGAAGATTCCTCGATCCTCCCAAAATTCCAATTCCTGTCGCGTGGCTATTGTTGCTCTTCCCTCCTCTGTGTTACATACGTTCCCACACCACCAGGAATTCAATATGCATCCTCGAACGAAGGGAAAGGAACGATCTCGAGGCAAACTCTCGATAAAAATCGCGCGACATCTTCCTCCTCCGTTTCTGAGGAGGTATCTCGGGCCTCGAAGTTTTCGTGAAGAAGGGGAAAAAAAAAAAAAAAAAAAAAAATAAGAAGGAAATAAAGGAAAGGAAGGAAGAAGAGGAATCTCTTAGACGAGAGAACGTAAATATTGTTCAAAGCAATTAATTCTCCGGCGGGCTACCACCTTCGCTTTGTCAGAGGGGTTCGCCTTGGCAAAGAGGGAAGCTTGGAAATGCCAGCCAGCAATGACCAGTGGCCACTGTCGTCAAAATGTTGGAAGGGAGGGGTTGGAACGAGGAGGATAAAAGACAAACCGCCGCCTCTTAGTCGTTGTCTGATCGTGGAGATTGCTTTATTTGAGCGCATTTAGCGATCGGGATCGAGAAATCCCTGGCCGAATATTTTGTCCCGGCTACCGGTGGGGGGAAGGGAGAGGCGTAACGCATTAAGCATCAAAATAATGTAATCTGCCGGCTGGGATCGGGCGATAAATATAATCGAAATTTGTCGGCCAGAGTTTGCATATTATTCACCTGTGCGCCCTTCCCCCCCTCCCCCTCCCCTTTGTGTTTCGAGATTGATCGAATTGATCTTCAATTTGGGCGGGGCTGCCGAATTTTGCAAATCTGTTTGTTCGTCTACTCGTCGAAGCGTGAGCGATTGTTAGAATAAAAATAAAGAATTTTAATGAATTTCTATTTCTATTTCTATTAAAAGTGTTATAAAATAATTTTCGTTTTTCTCGATTGGAGAAGAGTTTTCCTCACACCTTGTAAAAATTTTATCTTGTAGATATTCACGAATTTACGATTACTCTCTTTTATTGGAGAAGAGTTTTCTTTCTCCCTGTAAAAATAAAGAATTTTAATGAATTTTATCTTATCGCGATGCCTTTTTATGCTTTTATCTCACTTTAATCCTTTATAACTTTTCTTATAAGGAACTTTCTTTATTGTCACTTTATGTCGTTATGTTACTTAAATTAAATTGAATCAAAATCGATATAATATACAGCAACACGAGAAACATTTGAAGATAAAGAAGATATCTATTTATGCAATCCACTGTACTCGAAAAATTATTTCGAGCACATAAATCAATGGGATCTCCAACTCGTCCGCGTGACAAACTTGTGCGATTCAACGTAGAAGCATGATTTATTCAAGAGTTCGGTCTTCTTCAACTCGGCCTAAATCATAATATTCATTGATTCGAAACGAGAGGTCAAGCTGCATATATGAATTCGAAAGTAATAATAAACGAAAAATAAGCGGGAAGCGACAGGTGATCAAAAGAATCGAAATTTTCGAAAACGGGAGAAGGAAAAGAAAAAATAACTAAGTAAGCATAATTTGATTATTGCCAAAAGAAATGCATTATATTTATTGCTAAATACAACAATACGAAAATATTCCAATTGTTATAACATATCCTTTCATAAACGTTCAATAAATAATTATATTCGTCGAATAGATATACTCAAATCTTAACTATCATATTAAAGCGTTCCATTTATACTTTTTTGCCAGATAACCTTTTGCTATTAAAATGCTATTAATCCTTTCCTTATGTCTTACTTACGTCGCCATCCTACATTTTACTATTATACACATATTCACATATGGCAAATATACGTATAATATAATTATATCCTTACTACTTGATTGATAACCTTCTTAAACATAAAGTGCAAAATAATATTTAACGTAGATGCCTGTACGTCGAATCGCTTATACGTGTTCCCTTTTCACTTATGATCTAAACAAAAATCTGTCACACAATACGCAGAGTCGTTCGATAAAAGGGATCATACAATGTGTCGATACACACAAGGTATCTTTTTAAATGTTTCGAGCGTTGGTGCGTGCGCTCTCGCGGATGCTTCCGGATTATAAACGCAGGTAGAAGGTGTGGTCGATCCTGGTGGATGCAACGAAAAACACGACCGCCCATTGTGAGGGATTTCGATGATCCTACGAGTTTGACGTTCACTTCGTAAATCGGTAAAAGATCCCCTACCTGTGATCGGGAATAAGAGCCTGGTTCCATTTTTCTCGAATTGTTTTCTTCCCGTGTGACCATCAAAGTGTGTAATCTTTCCTCGATGAAAGTAGCGTGCCAGAGAAGATTAGCGATTTCTTTTTGATTTTATTTTGCGCGTGAAAATCGTGTATTGGTTGATTCATAATGTAGGGGGTTGCGAATTTTGGTTCGAGTGTCTTTTCTTTTTTCTCTCTTATTTAATGGAAAAAGATTGGATAAACTTTCGAGCTTCGTGATATTTCTTTAAAAATTAGTGAGCGAAGATTGATTGAATCAAGATTATTAATAAAACGAAAGGAACGTATCTTTAATCTGAAATTTTCACCGTTGAGGTAAAATTTAATTTAGAAATTGTTGTGAAAAAAAAAAGGAAACTAGCCTTTAACATTTTACATGTCGCGTGTAAATATTTATTTACAGGAATGAAAAAAATTACAATTTGTATTTAGTTGTAAGAATAATCAATAAATCGTTATAATAAGAGGAAAAGATGTTAACGAAAAAAGGTTGTTTGTTGGACAATAAAAGTTTTATATTAGGGTCCTTCCCAGTATTTTTCGCCTATCTTTCTACTTTTTACGATAAAAATATATAAGCTTGTTTCCTCGTCTTCCCTACAAACTTTACACTTTTCGTGTAAAACAAGAGTTCACACGTAATATTGACTCTAGCGCCAAATAGTGCTAATCATCGGGATGATATTCTTTCCTTCCTTTTTTCTTTCTTTAACCATGCTAATTAGATATAACAAATACTGGCATTACATCATTGCAGAATATACAGAATACATCGATAATCGTCATTCTTGGACAAATTTTATTTATTAATCTTAAAAAACTTTTCTTTCTGTCGTGTAAATTGTTAATATATCACAATTAGAATTTTTCCAAAGTTTGTTTGCCCTTTTCTTTTTCCAAAAGAATCTGATATTCACAATCGCGTAATTGATTGGAAAAAAACTTTTCTTTCTCCATTCCACTTTATCTTACTTAAAAATTATCCAACGATCGAGTATTCCTTTGATAAACAGATAATCGAGAGAAATGGAGCAGGATGGAACTAGGAAAGAATCAAAGGTGAAAAGAGCGAAGAGGAGGGGGAAGAGAGAAGAGTCATCGTCAAAGAAAGGAGGCTGCAGGTTCTCAAATTGCAATGAAACCCGGCACCGACGCGTCGCGTGGGTTTCGTATGACGACCAGACCACCGATGACGATGCTGTTTTTCTTTCGCCCCGAATATTACTCCTCTTCATCCCTTACGATACAACTTCGTATTCGAAGGAAACTGTAAACCCGCCGCGACCAAATGAACGAGACAATTTTATTCCATGCTCTTCCCGTAAATGGAAATAAAATGAACGAGAGTTTCAGCACTTTCGAAAAAACTTCGATCTTATTCCCTCGGTGAGTAAAAGAAATTTTAAAACGGGGGAAGGGGTTATTTTTTGCAAACACGAGAAGTTTATAAAATAATTATATTTATCGACACATGCCGTTTTTCTTTCGTTTCTCTCAGTCTCAAAGAGCGCATTAATATATATTCGTATGATACAATAAATTATAAGTACCTGACTTGGTCCTTTTCTTCCTTTCTTTCTTTTTTCCTTTTTTTCTTTTCTTATATATAATACAATGTCTCGTTAAAAATCTACGCAATTAAAATATCGTTATTATTTTACAACATTTACAACAATGTTCTAGTATTTACAAGAGATTGTCTCCACGCTACGTTTATCGTGATACGATAAATATTGACAATGATAATAATTATTACAAAAGAAGACAAAAAAATAACTACAAAACGACCAAATATTGTTTTACAAAAAAAAAAAAATAAAATAAAATAAAACGAACGACGCGATACACACATTTATAAGAATCATAAGACGAAATTCTTCAATTACAATTGTAAAATAATACTCAATTGATCCTCTTCTTCGATCGATCTCGTGAAAACAAAATTTCTCCTTTCATTCGCGCTTAACCTTAAAATTCACCTACTCCCCTACCCTCAATTTCTTCACTAACACTCCAGTTCCTTTCCAGTATCATATCATTACCAAAATTCGTCCGACACGACAATTCTCCACCCCTGTGAACGAAAAGGCGCAGTTACTGCAATAGATCGTAGAGAGCCGTGATGTAAGACTGCGCCATCTGAAGAGTTTCGTATTTCGATAGTTGCCTGTCGTTTCCCAAAGACGGGAGATACGCCCTCAACCTGTCGAACGCCTTGTTCAAATTCTGCATCCTCCTCCGTTCCCTCGCGTTCGCCGCCAATCTTCGTTTCCTCACGATCGTCGAGCTCACGTATTTCCCCCTCCTCCTCGCCACACCGCTCCTATTACCCCCGCTCCCGTCCATCCCCGAGCCCACGTGATCCGCACTGTCGCTCAACTCGGCCTCATCCTCGCTGTCACCGTCCACGATCCTGTCCGAGAAACTGCTACCGTTGCTGATCACACTCCCCCTCGACGACTGCGCCTTCTCGTGCTCCGTCTCCGCCTCGGGATCCGCCGTTCCATCCGTGGAATCCGCGTCCATACTGTTCACCTCCTCCGCCCCGCGATTCATCGTCCCCGTACTCCTCCTCTTCGCCGCGTACCTCTTGTTCAACTC